GAACATTTTAGAATAATTTGCGCTACGTTTTGTGCCCCGCAAAGACCTGACCTTTTTTAAAAAATTGCTTGAGCGGCATCTTGCAGCAGACGACACGGCGACGTCACACCATTCACGTGACCCGCTCCGGCCAACCCGAAAAGCCCATCTCCGCTGCCAGCAAAAATCGTCTGCTTCAAACGCCATTGCCTTGGAAATTGCCTTCTCAAAATTTGCACACGCATCCGATATTATTAAAACTTTGATAAAGTGTTTAGTGCTTTACTAACTTCACGGCAGACTAGTTTTGAAAAGTGTGAACTCGCCGTTCATTTTTTAATCAGCCGTGTTGTATCGATCTCCATGTATTCTCCCGTAGGGCGGGCCGCCTCCTGGAACCCTGAGTACCACGTGACTCGCGCCGAGCCGCTCTGTCGGCCATGTTGTCGGCAAAACACGGGGTTCAAAGGGTTCAAAGGATTGCGCTACTCTGCTCCGTAGGAGCTATATAGTGCTCTAGATACAACTAGAGCACTATATAGCTCCTACAGAGCAGAGTAGCGCAACCCTCTGATCCGCGTGTTTCGCCGACAACATGGCCGACAGAGCAGCGCGGCGCGAGTCACGTGGTACTCAGGGTTCCAAGAGGCGCCCGCCCTATGGGAGAATACATGGAGATCGACTCAACACGGCTGATTAAAAAATAAACGCTGAGTTCACACTTTTCAAAACTAGTCTGTCGTGATGTTGGTAAAACAATAAACACTTTATTAAAAGTTTTAATAATATTGGATGCGTGTGAAAATTTTGCGAAGGCAATTTTCAAAGCAATGGCGTGTGAAGCAGACGATTGTTTTACGCAGCGGAGATGGACTTTATGGATTGGCCGGAGCGGGTCACGTGAATGGTGGGACGTCGCCGCGTCGTCTGCTGCATGATGCTGCTCAGGCAATTAAAAAAAAAAAAAAAAAAAAAGTTAATTCGTGGCGCACAACTTAGCTCAAATTATTGTAAAATATTCCCTTATTATGTCAAAAACTATTGTCGTTCCATAGATCGCCAAAATTATCAGGAAGCAGCGATTTACTCCCGTTCCCCATGCATTTGTGGCCAGAGTTGGAACCCCCGGGCGTTCGCCGCTAGTCGCCGAGAGACGGCGTTCTAGATTGCGCTACTCCAGAGCTCTGCGGTACTCTGCTACAGTGTAACTCTGCTCCGTCTGCTCCGAAGGAGCTATATAGTGCTCTAGATACAACGTCCCTGGATATTTTTTTCGTTCGAGGGACTTTATTATCATAGAGTTATTACAATAAACGCTAGAGGCTCAGGTGGCGCTAGTGTGCTGTTGCATTTTGAAGCAGACAGCAAGCAGCCAGAACTTGACTTTTGGTAATGCGTTTTTATGAAAAAAAGCGAGTGCTTTTTCTCTCTGCACTCGATTATAAGAGCAAATATCACGAACAATTTCTACGTACTAGACTCATTGGAACATTTCTCAGTCACGCAGATGAAATAATTGGTCAGTTACAGCATTTTTATTTGAAATTCGTGGCGTGAAAAACGGTGTTAAAACCGCTTCGTACATGTATTTATGTGCACTGTCGGAGACTGTTAACGCAAATAACGCAAAATGAAATAAATAAGTGCTGCTTTGTCTTTCTGCTCGTGAATATGTGCGAAGATGCTCGTTCTGGGTTCAAATATCATCACCCGCCTGCTCCAATTCTTTGCAAATAGGGGGAGCCAGAGAGCAAGTGCCCGATAAAAACTGCCCGACCTAGGAAATAATAAAGACACACCTTTTGTAGCTCACATGCTTTTTTTTTTTTTGCGTTCAAATGTTTTTTTAAACGATCGTAAAGATGCATGACGGAGTCATTTTCATCCAATGACAGGACGGGCATATTAGCAATATATAAGTACCACCGAAATGCTAGCAAACCTTGAACGCACTCTACATTCCTTTCGACCATTAGTTTGCTTAGAATCGTCCCTCGTTTTCACATACCTTCCTTGAAACAGAGGTTTGGGCCTGAAATAGAGCAAAGTTTAACATCGTTCAGTAGTAAAGAAAAATGCTGTCACTAACAGTTACACTTTCAGAATGCCAATAAAGGTACATACTAGTGAACAAAAGATAAGGGCGCAAACGAGCTGGCGGTGGTTAAACATTTCGACAAAAACCCCGAGACTGGGACAAAAAGGGACGGACAAACACAGTCTCAAATTGAGACTTTGTGCGTGTCCGTCCCTTTTTGTCCCAGTCTCGGGGTTTTTGTCGAAATGTACATACTATCCGGCAGGCACGTAGCCAGGATGTTGTTTCGGGGAGGGGGGGGGGGGGGGTCGCCCCCCCCCTCCTTGGGGCCTGCCTATGACAAAATCAAATACTACAAAATGCTGTATGAGGGGGAGGGGGGAGAGGAAGAGGTCCCAGCAAAATGGACAATTTTGGGGGGGGGGGGGGGAGCCGGGCACTATGCCCCCCCCCCCCCCCCGGCTACGTGCCTGCTATCCGGTACAACCAAAATGACAAAAGTTATTCATGTTATTTTCCGGCGAAGAGACAATATTAACGTGCGTTTTCCCATAGGAATACACAGGGAGGCTGTAAATTTAGACTGCATACTGTCTGCTTCAATTTGCAACCGGAAGTCCTGTAGACACTAGCGCCAGCTGAGCCTTTAGCGTTTATTGTAATAACTCTATGTTTATTATGATATGGGCCACCTGCCTTTCTGCGGCACCTCGGCTCTCCTGAGCCAAAATAAATTATATATTATGTATTCTGTAATCGTGCAACAAACTTCGAAAACATGTGTGCGGGTGTGTGTGCATTAAGAATCAAAATATAGTATAATTTTCTTTCATATCACATATAACGACGAATGTGCTGTTTGCTTTCTGGCATGTATATGAATTGATTTAGTTGTGTATTGGTCAGAATAACTGGTGTGCATGCAAATATTGTCATTATGGCATAATCAGCTTGTGTAAACCAGTAATGCATCAGCAGATGACTAACCTGTTGCCGAATGTCTGCAAAAAGCCAAGTGCAATACCTGCGTCGGACGGCAATGAAGGAATGTCCATTGGACACACTCCAGATTCACAGGGGAGCCTCGCATCCATTACCAAACTGCAGGTTGACTGATTGTCAAGTCAGCATGACTATGGCCGGACTTAATGTGCGCTCTCTCTCTCTCTTACGGCCTCTCCAGTGAGGCGTGAAAACACCTATGAGGCTAGCTGGAAGTGCCACAGGGCGCCCGGTAGCCTCGGCCATAGGCGGTGTCACAAATCAACCTACTGTCAACATTACTTGATCAACTTCGTTGCAGAACTCCTGCGGAGAGGGTTATCCCCCACACCCTGTTTGGCTAGACTTGCTGTTCGAAGCACAAACCTTTTTCCGTGGTGCGAAAGCGTCTCGCGATAGCAGTTCAGAATGCTGCCGCAGCGTCCACAAATAGTGGTGCTTCAAAAAACATGTCTGATGCAAGGAGTGAGGGGGGTGCATGCATTACCCCAAACTGCAGGTTGACATTGCTGAGTGACCACGACAGACAACGTGAGAAATTGCACTGTGTCTGCGAATGTGTTCATATGAATAAGAATTCTCTAAGGAACCCCAAACATTAACAGGGGTGCTTTTACAGTTTCGTCGCTCTTGTATGCGAAGGGCAAGTTCGTCTGCTTCTTGCGCAGGGGTAGCGGTGACGTCAGAACGCCGAGCCCTGACTGGCTGATCGTGACCCCCCTATCTGAGCATTGTCTGCTCCTTTGCAACGTCGTCTGCTCACAACGTCGTCTGCGCCAGTCTCACCTTTCCTGCGACTTTCGGAAGTGCAGAGGCCAGGTTCACGAAACGATCTTACGCCAAAAATGTGCGTAAGACAAAACTTAAGAACAAATTCATATTTACGAAACAAAATTTTCGTAAGTTTTGCGCAGGTTACGACGAAGTCCTACGACAGCTCCGAAGCTGTCTTAAGCGCTTCTTATGATCAAATTAGCATGGCCGACAGCACCGTGGTCGCGACGACCCACGGACGTTTATTTTTCTACGTGCGCTTCTCATGCGTCCAGACTTCAAGCAGCAAGAAAAAAAGTAAAAAGTACTTCACACAGACAACGACGAACAAGAACGCTGGATCCACAAACACTTGTGAAAAGCTCCAACGGCCACGATTCCACCGAACGCGACCAAGCGAGCTGGGCAGTTAGGCCTAGGAGGCACTCCGCGATTGTCTGCCCACGACCGGCTGGCGTGCTGAATGGAATATGCCCGCGTGACCCTTGTGAACCCTTCCCGTATTATACTTTGATCGCTGACCTCAATGTTACATTAAAAGGTCTATTTCTTCCTCTTGTTATCTCCTTGTTTCCGGAGGCAACGGTGACTCTCGCCGGTGAAAAAGCGATGAATCTCCGACAGACGCAGGAAAGGTAAAGAAGCCATCGCTTTGACTAGCAGACGTAAAGCAGACGACGTTAACTGCGCCAACCCGCCGACGCCGTTAAAGAATAAAGGGTCTCGCCGCACACGAAAGAAGGGAAAAAGTATTTGGGAGGGAACTTGCGGACATGCTCACGGACACGCACCGAGCAAAGAACACTCGGTTCTTCGCAAACAAACCTCGGCGCCTCGGAACACCTCGCCAGTGAGTCCTTTGACTTCCCTCCTTGATGTGCGTCTGCTAGTTGTTAGACAAAAACAATGTACCGCTCGAGTTATTTCGTCTGTCCTCTCTGAAAGGCGAAGTCGAGCTCGCGCTCATAAAGACCTACACTTCTGAAAGTCGCAGGAAAGGTAAGACAGTCGCAGACGATGTTGAGAGCAGACGACACTGAGATAGGGGGTCGCGATCAGCCAATCAGGGCTCGGCGTTCTGACGTCACCGCTACTTGCTTTCTCATGCGCAAAAGACGAAAATGAGCCCACTTGCGAGGCGTATTGTTTAGGGATTCTAACAAACTTCCCAATTCCTTGCTGGGCTTGCAGCAGCCAAGCACACTGCATGTGCCATCGAGTGACGGCGGCACCTCCAGCGGAGACGCACAGGTGAGCGTTACATCCATTTGGAAACCCAGTTGCGAGCGACCATAGCAGACAACGTGAAAACCTGCACTGTGTGTGAATGTGTTCAAACGAATGAACATGCTCTAAGGAGCCTCAAAGATTAACAGGGGTGGTTTCACAGTTTCGTCGTTCTTGTATTGTTTGGAGATTCTAACAAACTTTCCAATTTCTTCCAGGACTTGCAGCAGCCAAGTGCACTGCATGTGTCACCAAGCGATGGCGGCACCTCCAGCGGAGATGCACAGGTGAGCCTTACATCCATTTGGAAACCCAGTTGCGAGCGACCATAGCAGACAACGTAAAAACTGCACTGTGTCCGCAAATGTTTTCATACGAATAAATATTCTCTAAAGAACCCCAAATATTATTAGGGGTGGTTTTACAGTCTTGTCACTCTTGTATTGTTTGGTTATTCTACAAAACTTCCCAATTCCTTGCAGGGCTTGCAGCAGCCAAGTGCACTGCGTGTGTCACCAAGCGACGGCGGCACCTCCAGCGGAGACGCACAGGTGAGCGTTACATCCATTTGGAAATCCAGTTGCAAGCGACCATAGCAGACAACGTGAGAAACTGCACTGTGTCTGCAAATGTTTTCATACGAATAAATATTCTCTAAAGAACCCCAAATATTACTAGGGGTGGTTTTACAGTCTTGTCACTCTTGTATTGTTTGGTTATTCTACAAAACTTCCAAATTCCTTGCAGGGCTTGCAGCAGCCAAGCACACTGCATGTGCCACCGAGCGACGGCGGCACCTCCAGCAGAGACGCACAGGTGAGCGTTACATACATTTGGAAATCCAGTTGCGAGCGACCATAGCAGACAACGTGAAAAACTGCACTGTGTGTGAATGTGTTCAAACGAATGAACATGCTCTAAGGAGCCTCAAAGATTAACAGGGGTGGTTTCACAGTTTCGTCGTTCTTGTATTGTTTGGGGATTCTAACAAACTTTCCAATTTCTTCCAGGGCTTGCAGCAGCCAAGTGCACTGCGTGTGTCACCAAGCGACGGCGGCACCTCCAGCGGAGATGCACAGGTGAGCCTTACATCCATTTGGAAACCCAGTTGCGAGTGACCATAGCAGACAACGTGAGAAACTGCACTGTGTCTGCAAATGTTTTCATACGAATAAATATTCTCTAAAGAACCCCAAATATTATTAGGGGTGGTTTTACAGTCTTGTCACTCTTGTATTGTTTGGTTATTCTACAAAACTTCCCAATTCCTTGCAGGGCTTGCAGCAGCCAAGTGCACTGCGTGTGTCACCAAGCGACGGCGGCACCTCCAGCGGAGACGCACAGGTGAGCGTTACATCCATCTGGAAATCCAGTTGCAAGCGACCATAGCAGACAACGTGAGAAACTGCACTGTGTCTGCAAATGTTTTCATACGAATAAATATTCTCTAAAGAACCCCAAATATTACTAGGGGTGGTTTTACAGTCTTGTCACTCTTGTATTGTTTGGTTATTCTACAAAACTTCCAAATTCCTTGCAGGGCTTGCAGCAGCCAAGCACACTGCATGTGCCACCGAGCGACGGCGGCACCTCCAGCAGAGACGCACAGGTGAGCGTTACATCCATTTGGAAATCCAGTTGCGAGCGACCATAGCAGACAACGTGAAAAACTGCACTGTGTGTGAATGTGTTCAAACGAATGAACATGCTCTAAGGAGCCTCAAAGATTAACAGGGGTGGTTTCACAGTTTCGTCGTTCTTGTATTGTTTGGGGATTCTAACAAACTTTCCAATTTCTTCCAGGGCTTGCAGCAGCCAAGTGCACTGCGTGTGTCACCAAGCGACGGCGGCACCTCCAGCGGAGATGCACAGGTGAGCCTTACATCCATTTGGAAACCCAGTTGCGAGTGACCATAGCAGACAACGTGAGAAACTGCACTGTGTCTGCAAATGTTTTCATACGAATAAATATTCTCTAAAGAACCCCAAATATTATTAGGGGTGGTTTTACAGTCTTGTCACTCTTGTATTGTTTGGTTATTCTACAAAACTTCCCAATTCCTTGCAGGGCTTGCAGCAGCCAAGTGCACTGCGTGTGTCACCAAGCGACGGCGGCACCTCCAGCGGAGACGCACAGGTGAGCGTTACATCCATCTGGAAATCCAGTTGCAAGCGACCATAGCAGACAACGTGAGAAACTGCACTGTGTCTGCAAATGTTTTCATACGAATAAATATTCTCTAAAGAACCCCAAATATTACTAGGGGTGGTTTTACAGTCTTGTCACTCTTGTATTGTTTGGTTATTCTACAAAACTTCCAAATTCCTTGCAGGGCTTGCAGCAGCCAAGCACACTGCATGTGCCACCGAGCGACGGCGGCACCTCCAGCAGAGACGCACAGGTGAGCGTTACATCCATTTGGAAATCCAGTTGCGAGCGACCATAGCAGACAACGTGAAAAACTGCACTGTGTGTGAATGTGTTCAAACGAATGAACATGCTCTAAGGAGCCTCAAAGATTAACAGGGGTGGTTTCACAGTTTCGTCGTTCTTGTATTGTTTGGGGATTCTAACAAACTTTCCAATTTCTTCCAGGGCTTGCAGCAGCCAAGTGCACTGCGTGTGTCACCAAGCGACGGCGGCACCTCCAGCGGAGATGCACAGGTGAGCCTTACATCCATTTGGAAACCCAGTTGCGAGTGACCATAGCAGACAACGTGAGAAACTGCATTGTGTCTGCAAATGGTTTCATACGAATAAATATTCTCTAAAGAACCCCAAATATTATTAGGGGTGGTTTTACAGTCTTGTCACGCTTGTATTGTTTGGTTATTCTACAAAACTTCCGAATTCCTTGCAGGGCTTGCAGCAGCCAAGTGCACAGCGTGTGTCACCAAGCGACGGCGGCACCTCCAGCGGAAACGCACAGGTGAGCGTTACATCCATTTGGAAACCCAGTTGCGTGCGACCATAGCAGACAACGTGAAAAACTGCACTGTGTGTGAATGTGTTCAAACGAATGAACATGCTCTAAGGAGCCTCAAAGATTAACAGGGGTGGTTTCACAGTTTCGTCGTTCTTGTATTGTTTGGGGATTCTAACAAACTTTCCAATTCCTTGCAGGGCTTGCAGCAGCCAAGCGCACTGCGCGTGTCACCAAGCGACGGCGGCACCTCCAGCGGAGACGCACAGGTGAGCCTTACATCCATTTGCAAACCCAGTTGCGAGTGACCGTAGCAGACATTGTGAGAAGTGTCTGTGAATGTGAATTCATACGAATAAATATTCTCTAAGGAACCCCAAACAATAATAGGGGTGGTATTACAGACTTGTCACTCTTGTATTGTTTGGTTATTCTACAAAACCTCCGAATTCCTTGCAGGGCTTGCAGCAGCCAAGTGCACTGCGTGTGTCACCCAGCGACGGCGGCACCTCCTGTGGAGACGCACAGGTGAGCCTCACATCCATTTGCAAACCCAGTTGCGAGTGACCGTAGCAGACAATGTGAGAAGTGTCTGTGAATGGGAGTTCATACAAATAAATATTCTCTAAGGAACCCCAAACATTAATAGGGGTGGTTTTACAGTCTTGTCACTCTTGTATTGTTTGGTTATTCTACAAAACTTCCGAATTCCTTGCAGGGCTTGCAGCAGCCAAGCGCACTGCGCGTGTCACCCAGCGACGGTGGCACCTCCAGCGGGGACGCACAGGTGAGCCTTACATCCACATGCAAACCCAGTTGCGAGCGACCGTAGCAGACAATGTGAGAAACTGCACTGTGTCTGCGAATGTGTTCATACGAATCAATATTCTCTAAGGAACCCCAAACATTAATAGGGGTGGTATTACAGTCTTGTCACTCTTGTATTGTTTGGTTATTTTACAAAACTTCCGAATTCCTTGCAGGGCTTGCAGCAGCCAAGCGCACTGCGCGTGTCACCGAGCGACGGCGGCACCTCCAGCGGAGACGCACAGGTGAGCCTTACATCCATTTGCAAAACCCAGTTTCGAGTGACCGTAGCAGACAACGTGAGAAGTGTCTGTGAATGTGAATTCATACGAATAAATATTCTCTAAGGAACCCCAAACATTAATAGGGGTGGTATTACAGTCTTGTCACTCTTGTCTTGTTTGGTTATTCTACAAAACTTCCGAATTCCTTGCAGGGCTTGCAGCAGCCAAGCGCACTGCGTGTGTCACCCAGCGACGGCGGCACCTCCTGTGGAGACGCACAGGTGAGCCTTACATCCATTTGCAAACCCAGTTGCGAGCGACCGTAGCAGACAATGTGAGAAACTGCACTGTGTCTGCGAATGTGTTCATACGAATCAATATTCTCTAAAGAACCCCAAATATTATTAGGGGTGGTTTTACAGTCTTGTCACTCTTGTATTGTTTGGTTATTCTACAAAACTTCCGAATTCCTTGCAGGGCTTGCAGCAGCTAAGCGCACTGCGCGTGTCACCCAGCGACGGCGGCACCTCCAGCGGGGACGCACAGGTGAGCCTTACATCCATTTGCAAACCCAGTTGCGAGCGACCATAGCAGACAACGTGAAAAAGTGCACTGTGTCTGCGAATGTGTTCATACGAATCAATATTCTTTAAGGAACCCCAAACATTAATAGGGGTGGTTTTAGTCTTGTCACCCTTGTATTGTTTGGTTATTCTACAAAACTTCCGAATTCCTTGCAGGGCTTGCAGCAGCCAAGCGCACTGCGCGTGTCACCGAGCGACGGCGGCACCTCCAGCGGAGACGCACAGGTGAGCCTTACATCCATTTGCAAACCCAGTTGCGAGCGTCCACAGCAGACGTGAGAAACTGCACTGTGTCTGCGATTGTGTCCATGCAAATAAACATGCTTTAAGGAACCGCATTATTGGTGGTGGTCGCACACTTCAGTTGCTCCTGGTGGTTCTAGCAATAAAGAATATCATTATCATATTTAGTTGTGTAAAATAAACACTGCTTATGAAAGAAGCTCGTGCATCTTTCTTGCAGGGCCCCATTCAGCCAATCATCACGCTTTGCAGAACAAACAGCGAATAACAAAGTCGAGAAAGCAATTTTTCGCAAAAATGTGATTTGCATCTGAATGTTGGATTTGTAAAAAATCATGCATGCTGTCTCAGCACAAATATCATCAGATGGAGACAATCTCTCCCGTGACATTCGCTAGGCTCCTTCTGTTTATCACAGTGATTGGTTATCCTAGCTTGTCTCTAGGGTAAAGATGTGAAGGCTTTGTTTGTAAAAAGTGTGGCTATTACTCAAGTAAATACGCTCAGTGCACTGTGATGACAATGCTGTGCTGCGCGATTAAAGGATTTGTTTTCTTGTTTACAGGGATCTGCAGCTAGCCAAGACGAGTCTGATGACACATCTGAATTAGCTGCCCTTGTGATGTCATATACTCTACGTCACAAAGATGGCGATAAATCAACAGCGGACCTTCTGAGGATGTTGAACATCATTGCGCCTGGAAGGGTACCACAATCAAAGTACCTCTTGATGAAGGCTTTGGGTGCCCATACAGCTGAAGCGGACAAACATTATTACTGTTTAGTCTGTAAAGATTATTTAGGAGCTTCACTTGATATCTCCCACTGTGAGAATTGTGGGGCAGAAATTGATGTAGATTCTTGTCCGTTCTTTTTGGTAATACCACTGAAAGAACAGCTCCAGCGAATTCTCAGTCAGCCAAATCTCAAGTGGGTCCCAGCAACAAGCGTTGGGCCTTTGCTGTCAGACATAGCTCATGGTCTAGAGCATGTGAGGCTGTGTGAGGACTTCTCAGAGAACGACTTATCGCTTCTCTGGAACACAGACGGCATAAGGGTGTTCGAGAAGTCCACATATGACATCTGGCCGATACAATGCCAAATTATCCAACTTGATCCAAGCATGCGGAAAGCAAACATGCTGATGCCAGCCATTTGGTTTGGACACACCAAACCAAATATGAGTGCTCTGCTAGAGCCATTTAGAAGAGAGCTTCAGGAGCTAGCATTAGGGTTTCCCTGCATTAGAGACGGAAAAACAGTCAACACACGTGTATTCGCTGTCGTCTGCTCTGTAGACGCCGTTGCAAGATCGGCAGTGAAGAACTGCAAGCAGTTCAATGGGTACTTCGGATGTGGGTGGTGCTACCACCCAGGAGGCTCTCATTACCCGTACCTGGACCCTGCACCTGAGCAGCGTTCGGAAGAAGCCCACTCACTTGAGGCAGAGGAGGGAACTCCTGGAGCACCAGTCAACGGTGTCAAGGGTCCCTCACTAATCATGAAACTTCCTCGGTTCAACCCTATTGATGGGTTCATCCCTGACTATCAGCACTGTGTTTGTCTGGGTGTGATGCGGCAGCTCCTAAAGCTGTGGCTGGACACAGAGAATCACGACCAGCCTTGGTATGTAGGGACCAAGCTAGGGGTCATGAACGGTATTCTCCTCGGCATCCTACCACCCACAGAAATCACGCGCACACCCAGGAGGTTTGAGGAACGTGCCTTCTGGAAGGCTTCAGAATTTAGGGCACTCCTTTTGTTTTATGGTTATGTGGTTCTGAAGCCGGTGCTGCCGCCGCAGTACTTCCAGCACTTCGCACTGTTGGCCTATGGCACATACTTGCTGCTAAAACAGCAAGTGTCATTCACGGACATCTGTGAAGCTCGAGCACTGCTTTCAAAGTTTGTGCTGCAGATGGAGAGATTGTACGGCATTCAGCATATGTCGTACAATGTGCATCAACTTCTCCATCTGTCAGATGCTGTGATAGCATGGGGACCCCTGTGGGCTACTTCTTGCTTTCCATTTGAAGGAAGGAATGCAGTGCTTTTGAGCTACTTTGCAGGCACACAGTGCGTGGGCCAGCAAATCGCAAGGACGTTCATCCGATGGCAGGAGCTGGCCCCGTGGGTAAGCAGCATGAACCTCCCGCAGGCAGCAGAGTTTTTTGAAGAAATGATGGGACGGAAGACCATCGGGCGCACAGGCACCCAGATTCCGGGCGATGTAGTTGTTTACACTAGGCAGAGCTCAGGTGCTCAAGACATCCGGTTCGAGGTGGCACTCGAGAGGGCCCTGAATGCGCTACCATTAAGCATTGTCTATTATCACAGGTTTCAGTGCAATGGCATCCTGTGGCACTCCGAGACCTACCCAATGCCAAAAAGAGCCAACTGCGTTGCTCAACTGAGTGATGGTTCATTTGGCATTGTACAGGCACTCGCTGTATTTAAGCCATCAAGCACTAGGTCTCATGTTGAACACCTTGTTCTCATGGAGAAAATGAAACTGACACCAGTAGTTGGTTTCAAGGACGGACAGCTGGGGGTACAGTTTCTGTCTGTACGAGAAGGCATGCGATCGGGCGCCCTAATTGCTTGCAGCTCGAAGCAGCTCGCTGCTAAATGCGTAATTACGGAACGTACCGAGAACACGTTCCTTGTTATACCACTTCCGAACAAGGTTGAACGTGATTAAGCCCAGGCTTAACATGCATGGGAAGTGTTGCTCTAACTCACATGCTAGAGCTGCTGGCCAGTTTATCTTCTTGACCAGACCCAGCTGTATTGGCAACTCCAGCGAAATCGACGCCACATAGCGGCAACGCCGAGAAGCTCAATGCCGTATTGTAGAGAAAACAGACAGGCATGTACTGTAGCTAGTCACTGTGCGTGACGCCCATCTTTATTCTATTCTCTTCTTCCTTTTCCTTTCCCCGTCAGCTCCCGTTCCCACTTCTTCGGCCAACATGACATACTCCCCCACTAGTAAAAAGACTGTTATGGAGAGTAACAATCAGGAGGCCGTGCATTCCTCTTGGGTCTGGACCTGATGAAGGATTCGGTAGTTGGTACCTCTACTGCTGTGCCGAGATCTGTTGGAGCAACCGTTCTAGTTAACTTTGAGGAGTTCCAACAGTGTCCGTCTTCTATTAGAAACATTCCGGGTCTGAGTGCTTTTTCTATTCTGACTGGGGCACTAAACGATGGAGTGCCCTTTGTTGTATGTCCTGGCAGTCGGACGCGCATGCAGTCTCCTCCCCTGAAATTCAGTCTTGACCGCCCTGTGCTTGTCAGCATATTTTTTGAAGTTGCTTTGGTATCTTTCCACCCTGCAACGAAGGTCCTTTATCGCCTCCCTAGCATTTTGTGTAATGCCTGGATGGGGTAGTCCCATGATGTCGAGTCTCGTGCGCATTGGTCGTCCGTGTAACAGCACTGACGGGGACAGATTAGTTGTTGCTTGAGGTGTGGAGTGGTAGATCCCCAGGAAGTGCACCAGGTCAACCTATATGTCGCCCTTCTCCAACAAAATGCTTTGGATGTAATCTTTGAGCACTCTGTTAAAACGCTCCACCTGTCCATTTGCCTGTGGATAGATGGACGATGTTGTGTTGCGTGAGTGATGCCTCTGTCTGGAAGGAATGTCTTAAATTCTAAAGACATGAATTGTAAACCCTGGTCCAATACCAGAACTTCCGGGTAACCTTCCCTGCTGAAGATTCCTTACAGGAAGCTTATTACTGCATCAGTTTTTGGGTGTGAGCAGAACCCAACCTCTGGCCACTTGCTGTAGTAATCTATGGCGGTGATGGCGTATCTGCAGTTCCCAGAAAAACTCGTGAACGGTTTGACGAAATCGATTCCGATCTGCTTCCACGCACCCTCGGGGTAGTGAACTGATCGCATGGGAACCGGTGCTGTTTTTGCTGTTTTGTCATGTTGCTGTCAGACACTGCAGCCGGTGATGTAATCATTGACCTCTACATCCATTTGAAGCCACCAGTAGTGCTCTTGCAGACTATGTTTTGTTCTGACAATCCCAGGATGGGATTCATGTGCTATGTCCATGATCCAAGGTCGCAAAGTCTGTGGTACAATCTTCAGGTTACGAAGAAGTACCTATGTATGACACAAAGTTCTTCTTGAATCTTGTGGTAAGGGATCAACGTAGCTTCCGCATGCAAAACGTGGGTCTTTGCTGAATTTATGCTCTCTACTACCTTGGTCAGTGTTGGATCTTCCCTAGTCTCTTTCTGGAGCTCATCCAGGGAAATGCTTCTGAGGTGTGCTCGAACTGCACAAATAATTTCAGCGTCTTCGTGATCACTTGACTCCTCATGATGGTTGTGCCTGGAAGCCTTGAACAAGCGTCTGCAACCCCATTCTGGTCGCCTTGATGTTCATTAGCCCTATGGCCTTGATGGAATTAAGACGCGGTCTTCGCTGTAGTTGATTTCCTGCATACTGATGCAAAATGACTGCGTGTACTACATTTCTTGCATGTCTTAGTTCTCGCTGGACATGAAGTATTGTCAGCTAGGTGAGCCGAATATCTGCATCTGTAGCACTTCTGACCTTGTTTTGGAGAATTTGCAGTAGTTCTTGTAAGAGCTGCAACCTCAGAAGTGCTTGCGACTTTCTTGTCTTCGTTGAGTAGCTTAGACTCGCGCAGAGCTTGTTCCACTTGTCTAGCAATGACGAGTGCTGTGTCCAGTGTTAATTCTGGCTCGAGCAAAAGCCTCTCTCGAACTTCCTTGCTGCTGCTTTTCTTTACTAGCTGGTCACATATTAAATCTTCCGCAAGCCCACCAAACTTGCATGTCTTGGCCAGGCTCCGTAATGTCGCGACATACTCTTCGACCGTTTCTCCCGGTACTTGTGCCCTTTGACGGTAACGATAGCGTTCGACGGTCTTGTTGACGGCTGGCGTGAAGGATTTGCTCAGCGCACATACTGTGTCGTCGAATACCTGGGTAGTGGAAGCACTCTCCGCAGAAGTCGATGGTTGAGGGTCTTGTGTGGTAGCAGGTAGAGAACGGTATACTCGCTGACCCTCCACTCCAAGGCAGTTGAGTAATATTGCCTTTTTTCTGTCGTCTGGATAAGTAGTCGCTCTGCTTGCCACCATGAAGGTCTCGAAGAGTGGGTACCATTCCACCCATGGAATTGTCGGTTTATCTGGAGCCGGTAGAAAAGGCAGTGGCATTTCCAGCTTCATTGTCGACTGCGCCAATTTGTCGTATTGTAGAGAAAACAGACAGGCATGTACTGTAGCTAGTCACTGTGCGTGACATCCATCTTTATTTTATTCTCTTCTTCTTCCTCTTCTTTTCCCCGTCAGCTCTCATTCCCACTTCTTCGGCAAACATGACACTCAAGAGGTCGTTTTGACTCTGTCACCTGCTATGGCTGCTTGGTTCTCGTAGGCAGCATACAAACAAAAATTGTTTCCAGTAATTATTTTTATGCTTCCGCCATGTCATTCCTACGCATTGACAAGAAGAAGGTTTCTACCGTCGGAAAATCGCTTTGCATTCATATGTAACACCGATTTTACGCTGCAGTGTATGAAACTTATGGGGGTCAGCGTGCTGAACGACGAAAACAACCTCCTTTCGTCCGTCATTTGCCTGACCAGCGCGCCCCCTACAGTTCGCTGGAGTCGTGGATACACCTTTCCAAAGAACACTCGACCCCAGGGGCAACAAACTGTTTTCGAGTCGTGACTGGGTGTGAGGCTAGACTGCAATAAGGTGAGCTGGCGGGCTAGTTGGTCGTTCATCATTAGTAAAATAGCGCAAAACAACAAGGAAGAAAGGGCGAGATAGACAGGAAGAGCGCTAACTGACAACTGACATTTAATACAGTCTATAAAGGAGGAGAAGAAAGAAGCAAGAAGTTACTGATGCTGTTGCATAAAAGAAAGAAACATACACCCTCCAAATTGTTATACGTAAAAATTTAAAATAAAATGTATGAAAAAGGTGAGTTGCTGATGACATCTGTGAGTGAAAAAAAAAACTTATTTCTTGCGTTTTTTTTTCACTCACAGATGTCATCAGCAACTCACCTTTTTCATACATTTTATTTTAAATTTTTACGTATAACAATTTTGAGGGTGTATGTTTCTTCCTTTTATGCAACAGCATCAGTAACTTCTTGCTTCTTTCTTCTCCTCCTTTATAGACTGTATTAAATGTCAGTTGTCAGTTAGTGCTCTTCCTGTCTATCTCGCCCTTTCTTCCTTGTTGTTTTGCGCTATTTTACTAATGGTGAGGCTAGACACTCACCAGCGTCCCTGCTAACCATAACCGAATGGACTGTGATTTTGATTGGCGCAGCCTGCGTAGGTGCAGTTTCAAACACTGCTGGCCGCTAAATTCTTGTCTTTTCCCGTTGTACTTTGTTTCATGGTGTATGCATTTTCCCGAGGACATTGAGAAAGCATTGTACCACATTTGAAAAAACAAAAAAGCAAAAAAAACTGTAAACTATTTTTGTTTGGCATGTGCTAACAGAACGAATGCGATTGGAATGTTAGTCGTTGTCTTTTTTTTTACGATAAGTTTACGGCGCTGCCCGGTTAGCTGCATGTCAAACGACAAAGTGCTTAGGTTTCAAAAATAATTTACAGCAGAAGATAGCCAAAGGCATGCATTTTTCACGCTCACAAATGACGTTTACCAATGGACAGGACACGGACATAAAATTTAGCAAGTGCTAACATTCAAACAATATATGGTACATACCACACAATGCAGAGTTATCTGCAAAGAATTTATTTGAGAAAGATCTCAAATAACAATCACAGTCGACGACAGTCGCATCTTAAAGACCGGACGAAAACCAAGGTGACTTCATTTTGGGGCACGTTTTGGGGAGAGCTTTCTTTTTTTTACACCAGCACCAAGGCAAAGGAATGGGTGCGACTGACTCTATCCCGAACAATTATTTTTGGCTATGACTACGAAGGACTCTACGGGGATTATGTTTGGGAGGGGGGAGAACAGTTGTTATCGTTCGCAAAATTGCGTCGAGGGCCGTTCAACATACCTCCCCTCCCTCGTTTCCCATAAATGTCGAGCAGAAACGCTTGAATGGCAGGCACTTACCAGCCCTATTTTACACAGTGGAAGATAACACAGAAAGGGTATGCAGCATGCATCAGAAAAATTAAGTGGAAACTTTAAAGGAGGGCCAGAAAACGTTGAATGCAAAACCGCAAAACATAGGTAGAGAATCGTGCTGGGCGGGTTTTCACAGTCCAAGAGAGTGGCAAAAGATTTCTAGCTGATAAGGGACACGAGTCGCACCAGCCGCATCAGCAACATGGCGGCGGCCTAGGAGCGTTTCTTGGAAAGGTGTATAGGTGCTGGTTAAGCAGTGGAAAAGCAAAACTTATTGGTTGTGTGCTGACCTTGTCCGTTTTTTGTGTGACACATTTTCTGGTTAAATGCGCTTTTATTGAGAGTGAAACTATGAAATCCGACACTGGACCCCTTCCGTGAGTTTCATGAGGGCTCTCTTAGTTTCACCCACCATTTGTTCTGATTGCCTTTTAGTTGCTGGATGTCATGGTGTGTTGGATGCGGTTCTTTGTTACAAATTCATCCATTTCGCTTGAAACAAAGTTCGAAGTGTTGTCAGAGAATAGAATTTTCGGCAAGCGAATAGTTGTGAATACTGAGCGTAGCGCGTCGATTATATGTAGGCGCTGTGGAGTGCGTCGGTTTCAACTTCAGCCAGTGTACTCATCGACGACAATCAAGTATGATACTCCTTCGACTTCCAATATTGTTTGTTTTCATTGTCTGTAGATGGTGCAACATGTTGTGAGAGTTTTTTTGTCTTCCTCTATGTATTGTATATAAAACTATAACGTGTCTTCTCGTAATCGGTTGACGAGGCGACGTCAGACTGACATCTCGTCACAATATGAATAAAATATGCTGCTGCGTCGGCAGAAGTGGAGAACTGCTACCGACCGAGTTGAGCCTACGTGTCTTTCCTTAGGCAGGGAGCTCCTTTGGATT